CAACCATTCACAAACCCACCCACCCACTCATTCACCCAACCACCCACCACCCACTCAATCTCTAAACCCATTCACCCACCCACTCAGCCACCCACTAACTCACCCAACCACTCGTCTATTCACTCCCAAACAACACACCCACTCACGTCACCCATGGCTTACCCTATCACCCACAATCTCTAACACACTCACTCACCTACTTCCTCGATCACTGACCCACACTCACAGACCCACCCAGTTAATCACCCACTCTATATGTAGTCCTTACCTCTTCTGGTAATGTGAGATATTCTTTTACCAGGTAAGGCCCACTGATGGTTCAACAAAGTCGCTGTATACATTTATTGCACCCAATTCCTCTTATTACATGTTTCTACATGTGGAGTGAAATATACAGGCGTCAGGGTCGGGATCGAACCCACAACATTCTGTATAGTAGGCGAGGTAGTTAACATCTTGCCACCGTGGCGCTAAATTCTTTGACTCACCCACTCAACTACTAAAGACACCCACTAACCGACTCACAAACCCACTCACCCTGCCACGCACTCAATTTCTAACCCACTCACTAAACCAATCATCCACGCACCCACCTGCAAATGCACTCACTAACTCACTCACCCAACAACCCACCCATTAACGCACCCACCCACTCCCTGACCAACTCACGCACCAACCCACCCACTCACACTATGACCTACTCCATATCTAACCCAACAACTCACTCACCCAGCCCCTCACCTACTAACCTAACCACCCACCAACTCACTCACCCACCTACGCACTCAAATACCCACTCACCTAACTGTAAACTAAATTTTGTTTTTTACAAGGCAAGGCCCACAGAGCTATACAGATCTTATTCAGAAGCAACGTGGCCACAAAAAACCCAGAGGTCTCGGAGAAAAATCCATGAACCACGAGGAGAACATGCAAACTCCAAATATACAGGCATCAAGATCGAGACCGAACCCACAACCTCCTTTACAAAAGGTAAGGTAGTTAACATCTCGCCACCATGGGGCTCCACTCTCTGACTCGCAGCCACCCACTAACCTACCCATTCGGCCACATACCCACTCAGCCACATACCCACTCAGCCACATACCCACTCAGCCACATACCCACTCAGCCACATACCCACTCAGCCACATACCCACTCAGCCACATACCCATTCAGCCACATACCCATTCAGCCACATACCCATTCAGCCACATACCCATTCAGCCACATACCCATTACCCATTCAGCCACATACCCACTCAGCCACATACCCACTCAGCCACATACCCACTCCAGAGCAAGTCCACATACCCACTCAGCCACATACCCACCTCCAGCACACATACCACTCAGCCCATACCCACTCAGCCACATACCCACTCAGCCACATACCCCACTCAGCCACAGTACCCACTCAGCACATACCCACTCAGCCACATACCCACTCACCACATACCCATTCAGCCCATACCCATTCAGCCACATACCCATTCAGCCACTACCCATCAGCCACAGACCATTCAGCCACATACCCATTCAGCCACATACCCATCAAAGACCCACACACCTTGCTAACCACCCACCTACACACCCACTCACTGACTCACTCACCAACAATTCATTCACCCATCCACTCACCATTTCACTCTCCCAATCAATACACCCACCCATCCACCCACTCTATCTCTAACTCACACACTCACCAGTCCACCCACTCACCCTGCCACTGACCTACTCACCCACTCACCCTGCCACCTATTTGACCTGCAACAGACCTACCGACCCAACGAGCCACCTACCCCCTAAACTAAACTACTTTTTATTTCCCCAGGTAAGGCCCATTGAGCTAGACCTGTGAACAAATTATAGATAAACGAAGTGGCTTATCACATAGACATTTATTGCAGCCAAATCCTCTAAACGCATGTTGATTCTAAATGCAGAGGGGAAAACCCGGAGGACCTGCAGCAAAATCCACGCGACAATGTGTAGAACATGCAAACTCCAAATATACAGACGACAGGGTCAGGATCGAATCCACAACCTCCTGTATACCAGGCGAGGCAGTGCACGTCTCACCACCTTGGCGCCTCACTCTCCGACTCACCCATCCACTCACTCACACACTAATTTACCCACTCAACCTCCCACATCAACTAACCCACCCACTCGCTGACTCCACTCAGTCAACAACTCACCCACCCACCCAACCACTCACTCAGTTAACCACTTTCTCACCCACCCACTCACCCTACGACCACTCACCAAGCTACACACTCACCTACCAACACACCCATTCACTCACTTGCTCACCCACCCACTTACTCACCCAATCACTAACTGACCCACTCACCCACCCACAAACTCACGAACAAATAACACACCCACTCAACCCATCGCTCACCAAACCCCTCACTCACCCACTTACTGAATCACCCACCCACGCACTCACCGACCCACCAACTCACTTCACGCACCCAATACTCCCTCACCGAGCCACTCAATCTCTAACCCACCCACTCACCCAACCACCCACTCACCCAACCACACACCTCCCACTCACCCAACCACACACTCAATCTCTAAACCACACACCAACCCTGCTACTGACTCAATCTCTTAACCAAAGCTCACAAACCCACCCATCTACTCACTCACCCAGTGACTAACCCACTCACTCAATTTCTAAACCACCCATTCACGCACTATCCACCTAACCTCCTACCCACACACACTCACCCACCCACACATCCCTGCACCCACACACTCACCCACTCACTCATCCATCCAGTCACTAACTCACCCAGCCATGCACCTACTCACTCACCCACTTTCAGATCCACTCACCCTGCCACCTACTCAATTTATAACCCACCTACTCACCCACCCACCCAGCCAACCACCCGCCTACTCCCTCAGCCACTCACCCACTACCAACGTAATTATTGACCCACCCATTAATTTAATCACCTATTAACGTAACCAGCCACAAACTCAACCACTGAGTCACTCGAACTTACCCACTCACCAAGCCACCCACTCAATCTCAAACCCACACTGATGCACTCACCCACCTGCCCACTTACTCACCAACACCCTTAACTAAATCAAAAAAAAAAATTTCCCCAGGTAAGGCCCACTAAGCTATAGACTGTTTTGAGAAGCAGGGTTTGGATCGAACCTACGAACTTAAAAATACCAGGCAAGGTAGTTAACAATTTGCCAACATGGCACTCCACTCTCTGACTCTCCCAGCCACGATAACACACACTCAAACACCCACCCACTAACTCAACCATCCATTCATTCAACCACCGAGCCAAGCACACACTCACCCACTCACCAAGCCACCCACTCAATCTCTAGCCCACACTCACTCACCCCACCACTGACCTACTACCCATTAAACTATTCTTAGGTTTTTTGGGTAAAGTCACGTAGGTAAAAAAAATGTAAATTAATAAAAGTAAAATAAAACACCCATCAAACATCGCACTCACTCATCCACTCACCGACCCAGCCACTCCTTTGCACACTAAATGAAAATTATGCTTTTTTATTTTACCAGGTAAGGCACTCAGCTATATAGATATTTTTCAAAAACCATTTGACCACAAATATTCAACTCAATTAAGTGGCTTTTCACGTATAAAGTGATAGCAGCCAAATTCTATAATTGTATGTTTTTAAATGTGGAGGGAAAACCCGGAGCACCTGGAGAAAATTCCACGGAACCATGGGGAGAACATGCAAATATACAGGTGTCAGGGTCGGGATCGACCTCACGACCTCCTGTATAAAAGGCGAGGTAGTTAACAGCTCGCCACCACGGCACTCCACCCACTCACCCATTCAAACACCCACCAATCCACTCACAAACCCACTCACCCTGCCACCCACTCAATCTCTAATCCACTCACTCAACAATTTACTCACCCACTCACCTACTCAACTATTCACACCCCCACTCACACACCCACCCATTTACCCGCTCAATCTCTAACCTACCCACCAACGCACTCAATAACCCACCTACCCACTCACCCACCCAATAAACTAAATTAAACAATATCTTTTTATTTTACCAGAAAAGGTTCAGATAACTAAATTAATATTTTTCAGAAGTGACCTGGTTACAAATGATAGGTTAACGAAGTGGATTATCATGGAGACATTCATTGCAGCCACATCCTCTAAATGAATGTTGATTTTAAATATGGAGAGAAAACCTGGAGGACCCAGAGAAAAATCCACACCACAGGGAGAACATGCCAACTCCAAATATACAGGTGCAAGGGATGGGATCGAATTCACAAAATCCTGTATACTAGGTGAGGTAGTTAACATGTCGCCACCGTGGTGCCCCACTCTTTGATTCACCCACCCACCCAATCACACACTAACTCACCTGCTCAACCTTCGATATTCACTCACCCACCCACTAACTGACTCACCCACCCACTCACCCAACAATCTACTCACCCGCCCATTAACCTATTCACTCAACCCCTCACTCACCCACTCCCCCACACAATATCGCACTGACCTACCCACGCACTCACTCACACAGTCACTCAATAATTCACCCACCCACCACCCACTCACCTATTCACCCACCTAGTCAACCATCCACCCACTCATGCTCCCATACACTCACTTACTTATCCAGGTACTCACCTACTCACCCACCGACTTACTCACCCATTAAGCCACTCACACCACTCACCCTCCCAATCACCTAGTTACCCACCCACTCAATCTCTAACCCACCAATTTTCTCATCCACTCACCAACCCACCTCTCAGCCACTCCCTCACCCACTCACTCACTTCAAACCATTCACTCACCCACCCACTAATTCACACAATCACCCACCACCCACTCAATCTCTAACACACTCACTCACCCACTCACCCACCGACTCACCCATTGACTCACCCACCAACTCACTCACAGACCCACCCAGTTAATCACCCACTCTATGTGTAGTCCTCACCTCTTCCAGTATTGTGAGATATTCTTCCTCCCAGCGGTATCTTCACGACAACGCCCTGGGGGGTGGGCAAGCCTCTCAACGAGTCGGGCGAGCGGGGCAACAGCCTGGTCATGTTGGGTTCATAGCGCAGTGCGGCACACGCATACACACAAGCAGACCACACACATATGAACACAATAACAACAGTGGGAGCCACTCACGCGATAGGGATGGGCCGCATGGTCCACTCCAGCTCGATGTACGGCTTGCCCGGATACAATGTTAACTACCTCGTCTGGTATACAGGAGGTTGTCGGTTTGATCCCACCCTGACACCTGTATATTTGGAGTTTGCATGTTCTCTCCGTGGTCAAGTGGATTTTTATTCTGGTCCTCTGGATTTTCCCTACACATTTAGAAACAGGCATTTAGAGTAGTTGGCTGCTATAATTTCCACATAAGGCACGTTGTTGACCTATCACTTTGTGGCCAGGTCACTTCTAAAAAAAGAGTTATGTTACTCAGTAAGATGGTTGAGACACAGGTGATGAGCCATGTGTAAGGGGTTGAGTGAGTGAGTGGTTTAATTCATGATTGAGTGACTTGATTGGTTGAGTGAGTGCTGATGAGTGAGTGAGTGAATGGTTGAGTGAGTGGCTGAATGAGTGATTTATGGAGCGATTGGTTCAGTGAGCGAGCGGGTGGTTGAGTGAGCGAGTGAGTGGTTCAGTGAGTGAGTCGGTTGAGTGAATTAGTGAGTGGTTGAATGAGTATTTGAATGAGTGAGTGTTTGAACCAATGAGTGAGTGTTTAAAGCGCATGAGTGTGTGGTTGAGTGAGTGGTTAAGTTAATGACTGAGTGAGTGATTGATTGAGTGGTTGAGTAAGTGGATGTTTGAGTGAATGGTTGAGTGAGTGGTTGAGTGAGTGAGTAGTTGAGTGAGTGTTAAGTTAGTGGATGAGTGAGTGAGTGGTTGTATGTGTGGCTGAGTGAGTGAGTGGATGAGTGAGTGAGTGGCTGGCGCGCACCTTGGCTGCGTTGTCCAGAGTGTCCCGCTGGTGCCGCTCCACTGTGTTGCTGCACTCCGCCAGGGTGAGAGCGACGGTGCCGCGCCCCGCAGCTGCTCCAGCGACTACGCCATCTTGCCCAGCCCCTCCTGGCGAGCACGCAGCATGCCCTGGAGCTCCCATCACATGGTGCTGGCAATCTGAGACACCCGCCTGTAGCACACACACAGAAGAAGAGATACGGGAATGGATTAGGGTGACCCGGGTGACGAGTTCACTACTTCGCCCGGTATACAGGAGGTTGTAGGTTTGATCCAAACCCTGATGCTTACATATTCAATTCTGCTCGTCCAGGCGGGGAGAATCCAATCACATTTATTCGATGCGATGTTTCTCATGGATATAATAAGTGACAACATTTGGACCCCAAACCGAGAGGATTCTGGGATGTTTGTGGTTTTTTGGCAATAACTCTGGAAAGAAATGTCGCAGACCCATCAAGGTGGGACTCGTCCAGCGACATAATGGTTGAGTGACTGGTTGAATGAATTCGGGAATGGTTGAATGAGTGAGTGGTTGAGTGATTGAGATAGAGTAACTGAGCGGCTGAGCGGTTAGTTAGTGAGTCGTTGAGTGAGTGTGGCTGATTGAGTGAATGGTTGAGTGAGTTAAAGAGTGATGGTTGAGTGGCTGAGTAAGTGATTAAGTGAGTGAGTGGTTGAGTGAGTAAGTAGCTTCGTGAGTAAGTAGCTTCGTGAGTGCGCGGCTGAGTGGTTGAGTGTGTGGCTGAGTGAGTGGCTAAATGAGTGAGTGGCTGAGTGAAGGAGTGAGTGGCTGAGTGAGTGAGAAAGTCATTGGTTGAGTGGTTGAGTAAGTCATTAAGTGAGTGAGTGGTTGCTCGAGTGAGTGGTTAAGTGAATGTTAAGTGAGTCCCCAAGCCGAGAGGATTCTGGTGAGTCGTTGAGTGGTTTGGTGAGGGGTTGAGTGAAAGGTTGAGTGAGGGGTTGAGTGAGAGAGTGAGTGGTAGAGTTAGTCGTTGAGCGAGTGGTTGGGCGAGTGGTTGAGTGAGCGAGTGCTTGAGTGAGCAAGTGAGTGGTTGAGTGAGTAAATGGTTGAGTGAGCGAGCGGTTGAATGAGTGAGTGGTTTAGTGAGTGAGTGGCTGAGTGAGTGGCTGAGTGAGTGAAGGTTGAGTGAGTGAGAGCGTGATGGTTGAGTGATTGAGTGAGTGGGTGGTTGAATGATTGGTTGAGTGGTTGAGTTAATTATTGAGTGAGTGAGTGGTTGAGTGAGTGAATATCTGAGTGAGTGAGTGGCTGAGTAGTTGAGTGAGTCGTTGAGTGAGTGTGTGGCTGAGTGAGTTTGTGGCTGAGTGAGTGAATGGCTGAATGAATCACAGCTATGATAAAAATGGACATCATCATATAAGTGGTCTTGTATTCACTCAGTAAATGAAGTTTAATATAAAATTGTACACTCACAGGATCGAAATAAAGATGACATTGCACATCGGAGTAAACCGAGTCGCGGCTATGATGAAATTTTGCATTAGCATAACATTGATTTATTAGCATACAAAATGACTTTTTGCAGAGCGATTTAATACAAAAGTCTGATAGACTACATGCATTTGTTTTTTAATAAAAAGTACATACAAACCAGGCATCAATACCGTTGCTTTGTATGATCTGTGAAACGCAGAAATTTTCAGATAAAATCGGACATTTTGAGCTTGCTGCTGTAACGACTGAGTGGAATCAATACAATCAGTATCGATTCACAATCAACAAAGACCATATATAGGAAAATCTCTGATCGGTGATTTTGATTGCATCGTATTGCAGCACCCCTTTGATGATGTTATAAAGCACTTGCCCCAACAGTCTGTTAAAGGCTACACGGGGATCTTTGTGTGCGAGTAGCTCACAGATCCTTGAGAGATCTGAACACTGTCCGATCATCAGCGAGCTCCTCCGGCAGGCGAGGCTGCGTTGCCGGTTGTCTGTGCATTAAGAGGTGTTAACTATCCCACGCAGAGAAGTCTGTTTACAGGACATAAGAGGTTCTTCACGTACCGTGCCCCGTGTCACCTAATGGTAAATGGGGGCTCCGGTAATTCAGTGTCCACCGCCGGAATCATCTTTCACCATCACCACGCGTCCATTAAGGCCAATGTGACGAGGCCATAGATAGACAACGCGTTATAACGGGGGGGGGGGTGGGGGAGCAAGAAAAACGTCGTACTACGTGCCATCACAACACCCTGCACACAGCCATAGTGGCTGATTAGGGTGCGCATCATTTACGAATGTCGTTTAAGTGGTTGAGAGTAGATTTTGGTGTAATTGATCACGATGCTTTGCGTAGCCTGTGTGGGTGCGTTAGCAGATGAGTGGGGTGAGTGCGTGAGTAAGCCGTGTAAGTGAGTATGTGGGTGGATGGAGGAGCTGGGCGGGCACGGCATGGGCTGGAGTGGAGGTGGACTGACGCGGTACGGGAGGATGTGGAGCTGAGTGGGCTTTGCCGACGACTGGTACCAGTGGTGTCGAGATCGGCCTCTGCGGGGAGGCTCGTGAAGGATGCTTCTACTTGGCAGTTGGCGACACTCGCCCTCCAAACAAACAACGGAGGAGTGACGCTCACAACAACGAGCGGAAACCGGATGATAAATATGCAGCAATTTGGCACAGTACAGGGTACAGGTGGTGCTGCCAGTCATCTCAGTCAGCCACCCATGGCACCTGGGTCTGTTCCAGGACCTCCGGTCAACGAGCCTTCGCCACTTCACGTGGCTTCAAGTGCACCTGGCCTGGCACAGGCGCTGTGGTGACGTCACTGTCACTTATTGGCGAATGGTGACGGTTGATAATGCAGCGGTGGTTGTGAGAGATGCCATTTGGGGGGGGGGGGGGGGGCGCCAACCTGACCAGCTGTGAACCTCACGTCGCCCGCAGCCACCAGTGCCACAGGGAGTTCTGGATGGTGCGAGGGCTGGTAACCCCCCTCACCTTCAACTAAATCACCACACATTCACGTGCGAGCCCTTGGGTCTCTCTGTGAGTCTATGGGTCTCTGTGGTGAGTCTATGGTTCTCTGTGAAAGTCTGAGGGTCTGTGCGTAGTGAGTGTATAGGTCTATGTGCGATGACTCTATGGGTCTCTATGTGATGGATATCTGTGGTGTACATATCCTGGCACAAGCGCCGTTAGTGGAG